TTTCATATGCTTCTAATTTAACAGAAAGTATTATAAGGAAAATTGGACTCATCCAGTCATGCTCTATCCATAACTGCCATTATATTCAGAGCCTTCTCTTTTGCTGGCTTTAAGCATAAGAAACATAACTCAGTTTTTTATTTTTATGAGCATAATTTTCACTTCTTAAAACTTTTAGTTAATCTCATTTCCCCTTTATATTTAAAGAAATTTTATCAGGCAGAAACTATTGGGTGGTGGCTGTATTTCACAATTTATTTACTATTTTGAGATGGAAAATCAGGAATTACTTTTAATCATAAATTAGAACAAAACCCTTTAACTCAATTCTCATAACAACGCTCCAAGGTTGCAACTATCAAATTAAGAAACCTAGGGTTGGAGAAGCTAGGTAAATTGCCTAAAAACGTGACACAGGCAGTATATTATATTGCACATCCAGAATCCAGGCTTTTAATCACTTTTTTTTTTTTCCATATTCTCTTACTATGTGACATAAGCTGAGAAGAGATGTAGCTAAATTGTTGTAAGGGTTAAAGAAAGAATTATTCCAATCAGGGAAATCAGTAGAGAAATTAAAGTACAGATAGTTGACCTAGACGTGTGAGATGGACAGAATTCAGAGGGATGGGAGCAGGATCTAGACCTTTACTCTCCAATAACCATTAACATGTGTGGAAATTTAAATTTAAATTCACTAACATCAAATAAAATTAAGAATTTAGTTCCTCAGTTGCACTAGCTCTATGCCAAAGTTTCACTAACCACATGTGGCTTCTGGCTACCATGTTGGTCAGCACAGAGTCACACAACATTTCCATTCTCACAGAACATTCTATTGGAGAATGCTGTCTGAACAGAAGAGATTATGATCATTGTCTGTGAGAAAACAGCAAATGCGGCTAAGAAATGATATTCAGGTCTGTTCAGAGAAGATGGGGGTGTTGAGCTTGGTGAGAATAGAAGGTCCACATCAGTATGTAGGACAAGATAAGTAAGTGCCAGATATATTTTGGATGGTCTTGAATGCCAGAGAGAATTTATGTGAATTCGGTATGCAATGAGAAACACTGAGGATTTCTCACCAAGGAAATGATATTATCAGATCAGTTCTTTAGAATAATTATTTGGGAGGTGATTCATTAAACTGATTAAAATAGAGTTGTGTTTGGGAAACTTGTTATGAGGCTATTGAGCTTGGAATGGAAAAGCTGTAAAGGATGTGAGAAATTTGAAGTACAACCTAATGACTTGACATTATGAGGAGAACGGGGAAGAGAAGTTTGAGTAATTGGGAGAAGGGTGGTGGCAAAGTCAGAAATACAGAAGTCAGGAAGGGTACAGAGTTTGCTTAAAAGGAAAGCAAGTTCAGTTTTGAACATCTTGAATTTAAGGTTCTTATGAGACATTTATCTGGAAATGTCCAGGAAGCCCTAGGAAAATTTTCTAAATCCTTTGCTTATTTTCACAAAAAAGTCAATGACTGGCCTGTGAAGATGAATGAGATTGAGATCAAGGAAGTCAACACAGGCAGGGGAAATAATTTCCAGAATGGTAGGAGTGGAATCCAAAATGAAATTAAAGTCAAGAGTTACAGGTATAAAAGTTGAAGTAAAAAGATAACAGTTGGGGCCAAGACTGAAAGCAGTCTAATTTATTTTTCACAGCTTTGGAATATTGTACACTTTTTAAAAATAGCCTTGGTAGTTGGCTTAACATCATTTCCCAAATAGGCTGACTACTAGAAAAGTCCCTAGCAGTATCCATTTCAGATTGTTTGCTAACATTTTAAATGTTTATTTCAATAGGGCAATACCTTGGTAGTATGTACGAAAAGTCATTAGAAATTCATGTAGATTATCTTCTACTATGGACCCTTATGCATGATACAAACTACTGGTATATTTTATTGAAGCAGAAAGACTGTAGGTAAGGGTTATAGACTAATATCATAGAGAATCACGAGGTCTCCCTTTACGTTGATATTAATAGATTCCAAGATCCCTGGAGTGATTCTTTCTCACAAGAATTTTTCTGCTCACCTTTTAGATTCTTTTAGTGTAATTGGTAGCAGAGGGAGAGAACTAGCAATGTAATTTAAAGAAGAAAATGAAACCCAGATGATGAGATAAAGTTTTATGTATTTGTCCAATTTTGTGAGTAGATACAGGAAGAGGTAAAGATCTTTTTTCTTTCAGGAGATATTTCAGTCTTTGTCACAAATGAACACAAGGTACTTTTGACAACCAGAATTCCAAGGAACAAAATAATGTTAGATAAAAAGATTGGTACTAACTCAGAATTATAAGGTTTTACACAGTAGATTCCTGAACCTAAGACAATTTTTCTCCCAGAACTCAAACCTGTAATATTGAACTTACAAATGCTAATTTTGTTCATTGATTTTGTTTTAAAAGGTTAAATGCTTGTAATTTATACACTTCCCAAGTCTGTAATTACTAAAAATCCCTTGAAACTCCTCCAGCTAGAGATTTTTTAGTGAGTCCATTCCTGATCCTCCTGTGAGATACCTTGAATTCAAAGGAATGGAAGCAGGTGCAAAAAACACAAGAGAGGCCAGCTGAACAGTCTATAGCAAAATCAGAACTGAAATTCTTACCTCCCAAATCTCAGTGGCCATTTACATTACTCAGAAAAAGCAGGGTTGACTTGACAGCAAATGTAAGAAAATTAACATGAAGAAGGTACCTGTGTGAGAAGTTTGTCACTAGCCATAGCAATCAACTGCAATTGCCAGTATTCACGAAGGGTAAGATCTTTTACACAAGCAGCTATTACTCAATAAAAGATGATTCTCTCTAGTGATTATGGTGGTGTGACAGGCAAGCTACAGATCAGTTAAGGTAAAGTGAAAGTGAGTAATTGTCTGAGCAGCTGTATTTCAAAACATGTACCTTGTACCACAAGACTAATGTTGACGGCATCCACCCAGTCCCAAATATCCAAAGGAAAAGTGGACACTCTCATCCCAATATGCTGTCTACACAGTGTCAAACACACAGGTGCCTGAAAGGATTGTTTATTTTTCATTTAAATGATGGAGAAACTAGAATTCTTCTGTCTTTAATGTTCTGATCTGAAGATGATTTATTTTTACTTCTTAATTCTAGCAACACATTCACGTGAAAACTGGAAACTGTAACTTACAGAATTGCTGTAAGTGATCTGTATTTTTTTTCCATTGGCACATATGTAATTGAAAGGTTATTTTCTTGACTGTAAACTCAACATTATATTAATCATAGATAATAGTGAATATATCTTAAATAAGCAAAGGTAAATAATTATAACAACATGGATTTAGTTCAGCGTTGAGAGTTCATGTGCAAAGTGCTTTTATTGCACATTATAGGACCTATATTCTAAGCATTTCCTAGAAAAAATTCAGAAACAAATTTTGGACTTTTCTAACATATTTTACCAGCTTTAAATAAATACATGAAATATGCATCAACTGATATGTCTTGAAATATTTATGTATACATCTTGAAATGCTTACGCTTATGATTACCTTTCAAAGGTAATCAGATAAATCACCTTATGTTCCTTTGATTTATAATTTCAGCTATGTTTACAAATTAAAATTCATTAGGAATGGGCTAATTTGTATATTGTAAAATCAGATTTAATGAACTAAAATTTATTAGGAATGGCTAATTTGTATATCTATATGCCAGTCATTATAACAATAGTCTTGATTTTATAAGAGGCTCTTTTGTGCAATGGTTAAGAGAGCATTATCTGAAAGAAAACTGTCTGGGTTTGAATTTCTGCTCCTCTAATCACTAACGGTAAAATCTTGGTCAAGTTAATTATGCCTCTGTTTTTCCAAATATAAAATGAGCATAATAAAAGTACTTAACTCATTGGGATATTGTAGCAAATTAGTTAATATACGTAAAGCCCTTAGCCCTTAGTGTTTATCAGATAATAAGAGCTATAAAAGTCTGACCCTATATTATCATAGATCTATCTTATACATAACTGGAGGCCAATACATGGGCAACAAATACAGGAGAAAAGATTGCAAAAAGTTAAACTTTGATATTAATAAAGTAAAAATCCTACATGATAAATATGCTTTTAAGACATTAAGATTTCAAGAAAGCTTGCCTCTGTCAAAAAGGAACACTATATCTAATCATTCAAATAATGTATTAAGATTAACATCTCCTTCCCTTACCTACTTATTCACTAAAAAGTTTTTCTTCATATTTTTAAGATTTCCACACTTACAATTTATGAAGATTAAGTTAAGGTGACTTACTCAGGAGCTTGTTTGATATTATAAAGCCAATCAGATGAATATAAAGGAATGCTATAGAGCAGTGGATAATATCCAAACTTTAAATCAGGCATGATAATGGGGAAAATGTACGCGGGATAATTCATGTTCACAGAAAACTCTAAAAGCTTGTTTTGTTTAAGTCTCTAATATTTCTGAGTTTTTAACTGATTTTTGGTTGGAACTGCAAACTAAAAACAAAGATACAGCTACTTCTCTGTTTTGTATTTTGCTGCTCTATCCTTTATTAGTGAGCATAGAAATGGCCCAAATCAGGAAGTAAAGCTGCCTCAGCCTAGACTGTCCCTCCCACATTCTCATTGTAGGAATTCTTCTTTAAGCCTGAGCTCAAATGTTGAATCCTTTGATAAACCTTCCTCATCTGACTCTCCAGTTAAAAGTAATCCCTTCTTTCTCTGTATTCACACTAGGCATTTATTTTAATAGAAATATCTATAGTTAGTTCATTAGAAGCAAACCCAGATTTCTCAAGGTGAGGAAAGGAAGAAAAACTTTGCCTGAAAGGTGTGAATATGGACTTGAAGTTCTGAGGTCTGACCAGCAGTCATTTACTTTATCAGAAAAAATCTTATATGGATTACAGCCAACAGAATGGGGACCTCATAAGGGATTGTCTTCCATTAATGTTTTTTGCCTGAAGATGGATTTTCCTCTTCTTCCCTTAACTCTAACAACAGGGTCAAATGAAGACTGGAACTTTAAAACAAAGCATTTAAAAAAACTCAAGAGAAACAGGAAGGATACGAAGTGCATTGCGTGTGATCAGACGATGTGGCTGACTCCAGCATGAAGGTTTGAGTTTGTTAACAAAGCAAAGGTTTGAGTTTGTTAACAAAGCAAAGGTTTGAGTTTGTTAACAAAGCTCATCCTCCAAATACCATTTATTTTGATTTTTGTTATGCTAACTATATTCTTCACCAAATACAGTATAAACTCCTATCTCTTAGTGTTTTATAATCTCTAAACTGCCCATGTTGACTAGCATTGTGGCATGTACATAATACGTGATTCAATTTATGAGCCTAACCCATGAATACATGCCATGAGAACTTTGATTTCAAAGTTTAGCTTTAGAAGACTGTGACAGGGAGCAAACTGTAAGTATGCCACTATATATATAAAAATTTAAAAATTAAAAAAATAAATATGCCACTATCATATGTGAACTTTTGTGACTTTGACCTTAAATCTCACATAATTATTATTTTTGTTTGTCTACTTTTCTTCTGAAAAAAATAGATAAAAGTCCAGCATCCAAAATACACAAAAATTCATTAATGGGAGATAATTTAATTTTAGCCTTTCTCTGTCTTTCAGAACACTGAGAGCTGTGATTTTGTTTTCCCATTCTAAATTTGCCAGCAATTACCTATGAAGACTCCAACTTCAGAATGACATTAGGATTATGGAAGAAGTATTTGTCCTTTGAAATTTATTTCAAAATATCTGAAAGCTTAAAGGGTTGTTTTTTGTTTTTTGTTTTTTAAACTACAGAGCCTTGAACTTCTGGGACAAAAGAGGAAGGGGAGTTGTGGCAAGAACTGCAACTAAACCTTACCCTAGAAGAGAAACTGGTCAGACATGGATAGATGTGCTTGGTTTAGCCCTGCTCAGACTTGCTACTCATTGCGTCATCCTTCCCCTTCTGTCCATCCCAGACATACCCATTTCCGTCTAGCAGCAATCAGTGAATCATATCAAATCCGAAGTAGGACATTGTAATCTTTACCTTTTTAAGGTCTATCTACTGCTTTTGCCTCTGATCACCTTTTACTTGCTTCCTGCCTGTTCGCTATCAACCTCACGTCATTGTTTACCAGCACCTGGTTAAGGAAATAGGTTTAGAAGGACATTTTGAATGAAGAAGAGTTTTAGAAATAACGACTAGAATTCAGGTGACCTGGTTTCGTTCTGTTCCTAATTGCATTAATTAATTGAGAGCATGAATGAACACGGGGGGAGGGGCAGAGGGGGAGAGAGAGAGAGAGTCTTAAACAGACTCCGTGCTGAGTGTGGAGCTGGTGGCAAGGCTCAAACTCACGACCCTGAGATCAGGACCTGAACTGAAACGAAGAGTCAGATGCTTAACCAACTGTACCATCCAGGCGCCCCCCTAGTTGCTCTTAAACAGCTGAACTTGAATGAATCCCGTTGTGATTCTGGCTATAATTTGTAAAATTATTGATTTGGAATAAATAGGATTCATGATTTTTTACTAGTCTCCTACTTTATGGTTCCGTAGAGGTTGCTTTTAAAAATAGACCTTATTGATACAAACAATGCACTAATAAGCACAGAAGTAGATGTGATAGTACAGTAATGTGAAAGTACAATGCTGAAAAGAATAACAGAATCAAAATGGTTGACAGGGGAAGATAGGAAACTAGGAAAGCAGATACAGACCTAGGTACAATGGTACCTACTTTCCAAATTTGTCTTGTAAAATTTATTTTGCACAATGGAAATGGTTTTATGTGGCAGAATGTGCTGATATTTTAGGATGTTGCTTAGTTATGGACATTGGTTTCTAATATGCAGTGATAATGCCTGCTTTAATGTTTTCCTTTAATGTTTGCTTCCCTTTTTATTTATAGTTTTTTTCTTTATAATTGAACAATTTTAAACATTCAATGAAGAAAAACTATGAAAAACAACCTTACCATCCAGAATCATTTTGGGCACTTTTGAAATTCTAGTGTTTATTATTTTATTTGCACATGATGTACATAAAAATTTGGGCTCTTCCAAAAGATCCTAAAACAACAATTTGAATGCAAATCTTTTATTTGAGGTGAGTACAGGACATCAACAGGGCAGTGGGACAATGAGGAAAGGGAAAGCAGCCAGAACAGAGCACACTATTTAGTCTGCTTCTATGGTGAGTAACTGGAGTTGATCTTTTAGAGAAATCCTAGGAAATGATACAAAATACAGGTCTGACCTGAAGTCCAAGGGGGCTGGATTTAGGGCTGCTGGGGGTGGATGTCAGTTTCTCAGCACTCCTGGGTCACACTCAATGTGAACAGGCACACAGTGGGCTTCCCCTGCTGCGGGAGATGACATTTAGGCACAGAAAAGCGAGTACTGGCAGTAGGGAGTCGGCTGGAGCACACAGGAAGGTTGAAGGGAAATGCGTGGGCACTGAAACTGTCTGCTTCAATATATCACCTACTTTTTTAGGCAAACCAGTTCTGTTCTTTTTGTAATAAGATGAAACATATTTACCTTAAATATTAGAAAAGTGAAAATGACAAATGTTTTAAAATCACTCCAAATTTGGCCATTTGGCGGTATTCGTCATTACATTTTGGTGAACACTGTTCCCATTGTGTGTACAGATGGAGAGAGAGATTCAGTGAATTCATTTTAGGAAAAATTCCTTATATGTTTGGATACATGTGCATTTCTTTGTTCAGATTCCTTATCTCAAGAGTGCTATATATCCTTATGTTGGATTTTCTTTGTCCTCAATAACTATTAGCCCTCCTGTGATCTCTTTATTTGTCTCTTTCAATATGCATTTATTATAATTATCTCAAATCTTTCCTCTAGGTCAGTATTTCAATTTTTAGTAAATTCTATTTTATACTTGGCCTTCTTTAATTATTTCTGTGATTATATTCGTAGTCTTCTCGTTTTCCTAAATCTACAACCTCCCCCTTTTTCTCAATTTTTATTGTTCATCCTCTTATCTTTGAGCTCTTGAATTCATGTTCTTATTATTCTCTAAGGTGAGATCATTGTGATGAATTTTCTTGTGCTTTGAGGTATTTTTTTTTTTAATTTTACATTTAAGGTCTTTATCTTTCCTTTGAAAGTTACATTCCTTTCTTTCTTCCTCTTCTCTACACATTTGTTTTGCTTCAATATGTTTGCATATTTGCCATGGCATTTCACATTGCTCATAATTAAGCAGTTCTATTTCTCCTTTTTTCTTGCTGGAATGTGAGTATATTCATGATTCTTCCTAGTAGTGCTGAACCAAGTGTCTTTTGTCCGTCTAGCTACTGTTTGAGAGAGATTTTGTTTTCTATCCATTTTTAGTAGACGGATAGCATGGCAAGGGTGGGGTAAGAACACAGCCAAAGTGGTATGCACTTGTTAAATACCATAGCTCTAGTCTCTCTTCTGAGATTTTGTTAAATATCCTGTAGAAGAATTCAAACCATGAGTTTGATGAGTTTGATGAGTCACATTCTTACAGAGGCTATCCTTGGGTTTTATACCATTTCCTCCAATCAGTGTGTTTGCTTCAGTTTTCTAGGATGGTAATAATTCAGGTTCTTGGCGTCAGAATAGGACAAAGTTAATTAATCTGCCACTTTACCGTCTCTTAAATCCAAAATGCTTAGCTACTAATATTGTACAAGCTACATCTTCAGATGAAGAATACCCAAGAATTGACTGGGCTAATTTACTTATAATGAGATTATAGATATATGGGTTACATGCCATCCATGATAGTACCAATAATTGGGTGAGCCATTTTGGTTTTTTTAACCTTCATGACAGGACAAAAGAGTGTGCTATACTCCCATTTTTACGTCTTGCTTATGTTTCTGACATTCTGTTTTAGAACTGACTTTAAGTCAGGGGTTCCTGGGTGACTCAGTTGGTTAAGCATCTGACTCTTGATCTCAGCTCAGGTCTTTTTTTTTTTTTTTTTTTTAGATTTTATTTATTTATTTGAGAGAAAGAGAGAGAGCAGGGGGAGGAGCAGAGGGAGAGGGACAAGCAGGTCCCATGCCAAGCACAGAGCCCAACTTGGGGCTTGATATCATGACCCTGAGATCATGACCTGAGCCTTAATCAAGAGTTGGACAGTTAGCCAACTGAGCCCCACCCAGGCACCCCTCAACTCAGGAATTGATCTCAGGGTTTTGAGTTCAAGCCCCGTATTGGGTTCCATGCTGGGCATGGAGCCTACTTAAAAAAAAAAAAAGAAAAAAGAAAAAAACAGAATTGAACTTTAGTCAATTGGTCAGTATCCAGACTTATTCTTAAGTGATACTAGCACATTATATAACTATAATTTTTTAAAAAATCTTTGTAATGCACAGAATTCCTGTATTAGAGCAAATACTAAAATATCTGAGCTTTATGAAAGTTTCCAGTTAATTTATTTGATGATTCTAAATAGACAGTGTGATTTAAAATATGCAACTTAGAAACAGGACAATTAAAGGTGACCTCCAAGAGCACTATCAAATTAGATAAATATATAACTAAATTAAAAGTATCCATATCAGTCAGAACCCACAGCAGATGGAAAACAATCATTGAATAATGTTTAATAAAAATGACACGGAGCAAGGGATGGTGAAGCCACCTTACTTAGGAACTAGGAACAGTGGAATGGTGTTACCACCCCTAAGTCAGAAGGGGCAAGGAGAAGGAAAGTTTACAGACCAGGTGTTGGACATGTGAGGGGGCTGCCTCTTACATGGAGGAACACATACACAACTAAAATCTTGGCTGGGGAGGGAGGAACTTGGGAGGGGGAAGTAAAAGGGGAGAGGATGAGGGAGGAAGTGGGGAAGGGGGAGGAATACACTCTGATCCTTCTCTCCTACCAACCTCCAGTCTCCTATCAGGGCCTCCACTGGCCAAACTCACAGGGAGCAGAGAGCAGGACACCAGGTGTGAAGAGAGTAGAGGTCAATCCCCTGGGGTATAATAAGGCAGGGAAGAGTGGCGAATGGTTCTAGAAGGGTAAATGGAGACCAGCCAGCACAACATCCTACCTTAATACTCCATTTTCAAAAATCACTTAAAGAACAGGAATAGCTCTT